ATAGTATATATATATATATATATATATATATATATATATATATGGAAAAGGAAAAGATTTCTTATTTTTGTTTGCCCATCGTTGTTTTATATTCTCCTCGCGGTTGGATGAATTTCTCTTTTTTTTTGTGTGTGTTTTTGCTTTGTTTTGGTTTGTGTGCATGCGTTTGTGACGTGGGTGTGCAACGGCAACGTCACACATTCACAGAGACGGAGAGGCGGAGAATTGCGTGCCCGAATGCGGGTGCCCAGTTCTGCCGATATGTATGCTAGCGGGACGCACGGAGCGTCAACTTTCAATGTAAGCCGCGTCGAGGGGACAACACATCCCCTCCGCACCCCTACGGGCGATGTATCATATTAGAGGCCGCGCTGTATTTCTCAAGCGTATTCGTTAAGGCGGGACAACGGCGCACGTGTGCAGCTGTTTTTCTTCGTTCAAACAAAAACAAAACAAAACTTGCCATCGTCACAGTAGGAGATGACGTGGCGACACTGGTTTGTGAAGAGATGTAGTGAACCACTCTCCTTTTTTTTTTTTTGATGTGCTTGGGCTAAGTCAAAAGAAGGGCCGGTGGCTTCTCCCACGGCATCACATCACATATAGCCATTACTGGGTTTATTACATTTGTCCAAGTAGAGGAGGAGAGGCTTCACGCTGGGCTGGGGAATCTTTGAGCGACGTGTCACAAGCAGCAAGGAGCTGCGTGATGTTGACATGTACGTTTACACCCTCCCTGCAGGGTTGTTGGGCCGCTATATTGGCCGTGCCCTGCGGTTTCGGGTAGAGCGGTTTGCGTACTACCTTGATCTGACAGGGCGCTCGCTAAGGCGCGTCGAGGTGGAGGCCGACTCCCTGCAGCCGCAGTGTGAGGTGGACCACCGCAAGTTTGAGCGGCTTCTGTTGAACTTCTTGGAGGTGGAGCGGCTGTCGAAGCGAACGTGCAGTTACACCCTTGATGCCCCACGCTTTCCCCGCATCATCTACAACTTGGAGCAGGAGACGACGGACCATCTCGAGGGTTCTCTGCAGCTCCGCGGCGAGACGCATCCGGTGCGTTGCAGCAAGATGCTGGAGGGACCGGAGCTCGTGGTGCGCTGTCCGATTGACACCCGCGAGTTTAACGTGCCGCGCTACTCGATTCTTTTTGGGCTCTTCAGTGTCTCGCAGCACGTAGAGGTGGAGACGCGGGTGCCGCTCAAAGTGGTGAAGCTGTGAACGCCGTGGTCCCAGGAGGAGGAGGAGGAGGCAGGCATGCCGGAGGAGGCGAGAGGGGCGGGGCGACAGCGCCAGGCAGGAACATATATATATATATATATATGTTTATTTTGCCTTGGTTTTTATTTTGATGCATGCATGACTGGTTCCTTTCCCTACTCCTTCTCTTTTTTTTTCCTCCTCGTTTTTATTGCCCTTCCTCTCTTCCTGCCTCCTGTTTCTTGTGCCTGCCTCCACTCCGTCCGGAAGCATTGCGAGCACCACGTTGTGGATGCCGGTGAACGGAGGCAGCGGCGTCTGCGAGAGACTTTTGTTTTTGCATGGCACCTCGGATCTGTTGGCGGCGCAGTTGCGGCTGAAGGAGTTAACGCTGTACCCCGAGCGCGGAACTCCGCAGGAGAAGGACCGTCGCGACGACGTCAACACAGATGTCTGTTGGTGTCTCTTGCCGCCTGCGCACTTCAGTGCGTGGTGCCAAAATCGCCACGGGACCCTTCACGGCGGGCTGTGCCTTGCGCTTTTTCTCGCCGTATGCAAAGCACATCTTCGCCGCCAAGGTGGAACCGTGGGTGAGGTGACACACGTGAGCATCCAGTACATGCGCCCCGTCTTCACCACTTCTGCACTTGCGGTGTGGAGCGAGCTGCACGAGAACATCAGCGGCGCCAACGCTGCAGCGCGGCATGGCGGCGGCGTGGTACGTGCAACGATGGAGCTGTATATGCAGCCAAACCCACAACAGAGGGGTGGCGAGCAGGCGGAGGCGGGGCAGGAGCACCTTGGCCTGCTCAAGAAGGGACAGAAGATGGATGCCGCACTGTGTTGCTGCAGGGCGTTTATCACTATTGCCAGGAAACTGACCCCTGCTGGCCACCACCTGTGACGGCTGGACACACAACAACTTGCATCCATGTCAGTACGCCGTCGCTCTGTTTCTCGCGTCCGCATATGCGCAAGATACACCGGATGGGATGCGTCTCTCTCTCTCTCTCTCTGTGTTGTGGGGAACCTTGCCCGTGTTGGTTTGTTGCCTCTACTCTTTTTTTTTTTGTGTGTGTTTTTCTTTTGGTTCTGATTTGTTTCTGTGGCAATAAGGGCGCCCTCGGGTTGTTTCGCTCAATATACACACACTGTTGCCCAGCAGCCAGGTCGCGTGCACCCGCAAGTTTTACCGAGCACTGTCTGAGGCATACACGAACAAAAGGGGCGAAGACAACGGTCAGCGCGGTGAAAGCCAGATGCACAGTGCAGAGCCGCCCGCCTTCGCGCCAGCAACCGAAATGAGGTTTGTGCGTGGCGTCATTGTTGGCTCCGGATCGAGTGGCGCTACCCCCGCTTTGGGCTGCATCGCCAGCCCCACACCCTGCAGCAACTGCGTGGAGGCACACCGCGACCCACGGCGGAGCAAAAATCACCGGCTAAATGTGTCGTTTCTCATTCAGCTGCGACACCCAGTGGACGGCTCTCTGCACAACGTGCTCATAGACTGTGGCAAAACATTCCGCGAGGCGGCGCTGAAGGTGTTTCCCGCCGTCGGGGTGGCGGAGCTTAGCGCGGTCCTCCTCACACATGATCACGCGGACGCTTTGTTTGGCCTTGACGACATGCGGGAGTTCAACCGACCCGACAGAGCGCTTGACGTCTTTGCTGACGAACGCACTGTGACTTCCATGGTTCGTGTGTATCCGTATTTGTTCCCAAAGGATGGTCCCTTGACGGTTGGGGAGCGACGACACGAGAAGACTGGCTTTGTCGCATCCCTCGCCTGTCACGTATTTCAACCGCTCAAGAAGGTTGTGCTGAACTTTCTTTGCAGCAGTACCCCACCTTCTGGCAGTGACGATCGCGTAATGAGTTCTTGGTCTGTCGTGCCCATTGCTGTCCCACACGGCGGGAATTACCTTGCGAATGCCTTTCTAATACCAATGCACGTCTCTGGTGAGGGACCCCGTCTTTTGCTGTATCTTTCTGACATGAGTGCATTGGAGGAGAAGTTTTTTACGGACTTGGCTCAGGCGAAGGAGTTGTTGGGTGTGCCGGATTCGACGCCCATAGAAGTTCTTCTGCTGGACATGCTGTCGCGCAAAACTTACTTTTCTCACCTGAGCGTTGATGCTTCCATCGCAGCTGCACGCAGGATTCAGGCCGGCAAAACATACTTTGTGGGCATGTCACACTCACTGAACCATGACGACTTAACACGCGAGCTGCAGGGCCTGGGACTAAGCAATCGGATGGAAGTGGGCTTTGACGGGTGCGTTGTCTGCGTCGGCGAGGCCAATGATGCTCACCATTCCGCTGGCTCTTGTCCCTGAAGGGCGTGGGATGGGGGCGTGGATGTGTATATATATGTCTCCGCAAGAAGAGGAGGGAAGTGAATGGCGTTGTCCAGAGGTGGAACCATTGAAGTGTGGCTTTGCAGCTGCAGGCGTAGGCCCTCGCAACATCACCCAACAACTAGAATAAGATGAATAACAACAATAAAAGTGGGATGAGACTTATTTATTATTATTATTTTTTATTATTTTTATTTTTCCCTGTTTGTTTGGCTCATTTTCTGTTTGTTGGCGGTTGTTGTTGTTTGTTTTTTTTTTTGTTTTGTCGGATGCTCTTTTTTTTTTTGTTCTGTTTTGTTTTGAATTTGTTGGCTGGAACAAAGCAGTGGAACCGTCGAATGCGTCCGGAGTTGCAGACCACACATGTATCTACACGTGGTGTCGGTGGAGCACTCCGTAGCAAAACCCGATCCCGCGCTCGGCGATGCGCAGATGAGTCCGTTGTTTCACCGTGTGTCCGCCTGGTGCCCGCTGCTACATTTATTCGGCTACGTCTACACAAGGAGGGAGGGCGGCAATGGGCTGGACGAGGCCAACGCGACTGTGGGGGGTGTAAGGGGATCTGACGCCCTTCAACAGCGCAGCATCTGCGCACACATCCACGGTGTGTATCCATACTTTATGGTGTTGCGCCACGACCCGAGCGTCTCTGCGATGCAGTTCGGCGCCCAGCTAGAGGCGGTGGCGATACGCGTCCTGAAGCCCTCTCCATCGACAGCACCGCCGCTGCAGCTGCAGCTGCTGCATCACGTGGAGGTGGTGCGACGGCTACCCTTTTACGGCTACCATGCGAAGCACAAGACATTTTTCAAGGTCAGTGTGATTGACCCCGAAGTGGTGAGCAGGCTTGTACAGCTGCTCAGCCAGACGACGGAGGTGGGAGGACGGCGGTGGCAGACATACGAGGCACACACACCCTACCACTTCCAGTTTATGGTGGATTACGGGATGAAGGGAATGGCTCCGTTTTGCATCCCCGCCTGCACGGCACGCTCGCCTGTGCCAACAGAGGTGCAACCTACGCAGGCTCAGGCAAATCTGCACATTACTGCGGTGATGCCACAAGGAGAGCCCTTGCGTCTCACACGTGCTGAATTGGAGGTTGACGTGAAGGCGCCTGTATTGCAGCGGCAGGAGTGTCCTGTGGAGTCGGGGGAAAACCTTTTCTCTGTGCGGCGCAGCGTGCGACAATACTTTGCCGAACACGGCGTGGACGACGCTCTGCGATGCGGGGCGGGGTCTGACATGGCAGATCGCACCTGCACAGTGTGTGATGTGCAGAGTAGTGACTCCGCCGTGTCGGTGATGCGCCAACGGGCACTGACGCACCTGCGTGCCAGGGCTGACGCGGTTGTGGCGGAAACTTCATCCCACATTTCATCAACGCCGCGGGATGATGTGGAAACTCCTACGAACTTTTCCCTGCACGCCGGTAAATTGAGCGACCAACTTACGTTGCGGCTCATGGAGGAGATGCATGAGGACAATGCGAAAACGACACGTTTTGCTTTGTCGTTTTCAAGCTCCTCGTCTTCTTCCTCCTCCTCTTTGCTTTCAGTGCCGTCCATTGAGGAGGCAATTGGGGAGGCGGGGGAGCGTTCATTGCCCTCCAGCGAGGGGGGCGCTTGTCTGCAAGAAGCTCCTGCAAATACTGATACCTCACTCGTTATTGGGGATTCCATTGTCCTGTGCGGCGTGTCAGTCGACGGCATCATCCCACAGACGCCATCGGTAGCCAAAATAACTGCGATGGACACTCAGACTGTGCGGCTGCGGTGGTACATGACGCTACGCGAGACGCACCTCGCCGACACGCAGGAGGAGCTTGAAAGGAGTGGGCGGTGGCTGGCGCGGCGGGTGCCTGATGCCAGCGGCGTCGCGGCTGCGTTGGAGGAGGAGCTGCTACTGGGAGATGTGGAGGATGAAAACCCCATTGCGGTCTTAAGGCAGGCCGTGCGGGTTGCGGTGTGCCACGCGTATTGTGCCCCCACTACCCCCGCGCTGCTGTGCCGTTACAACTATCACGTCTCGGAGCAGCGCCTTTCGGCGATTGCACCGACACGGAGCGAGGAGTTTGTAGCTCTCCCAGCCGCACTCGCCACGCCCACATCCGGCGCGGCGGGGGTGTCAGGTGCCGTGGATGAGGATGAGGAGCTCTTGACATCCTCCTCCTCCTCCTCCTCTTTCTCGTCGTCGTCGTTGTTTTCTTCACCGTCGTCGTGTGTTGTTGTGGCGGAGAGGCGTGACGTGACGCCGCTCTTCTTCTCACGTCCGTCGACGCACGACGATGGAGACCACATACAGACGCCTGTGCGACGATCCGTACCCAGCGTTATGCAGCAGGCGTCCCAGTCGCAGTTGGCGTTGATGCTCAGCTGCATCGGCTCCTCTCCGTCTGCGGCAGCCGTCGTTTACTCTGTGGCCTCGCAGCCGGATGCGTCTGATGCAGGCGCCAAGGAGGAGCTGTCGTCCTCCCTGTCTCTCGAGTGTGTCAACCCTAGTCATGCTGCCTTCCTGCAGGGGTGGAGAGAAACGACCTCCCGCTTGCATCCGTGTCATTTCATGGGTGACATCTCTCGAAATTTTCGCTGGACATACGACCGGCATCGTCGTGTTGTTGTGTCAGCCGCCAGCTGGCCTCTTGCCACACCTGTCAGTACTGCTAGTAGTTGTCCTGCTTTTGCTGCGGTGTCAACACGGAGAGGAATGCCCACCTCAACAATGGGAATGATCCAGGCACGGCCTTCTGTGCCGCTGCCTTCGCATGTGGCACCATCGCCGTGGACGTCACCCAGTCATCAACATGCGTCGGCCTCCAAAGCCAAGTGGCAGCCGTACCCATCATCCAACGTCTCAAGTTCGCCGGGCAGGAACACATATGTTACCTGCGAACTTCGTGTTATGTATGTGGAGGTGCTCGTGCACCGCCAATCTGGTAATCAGAACGTGGTACAAGAGGAATTACTGGCCGTGGCACTTGGACGCACGAGTTCTTTTGCAGAGTCCATTGGTGTGCGGCTTTTTTGTGTGTGCCCATCGACAATGACCATCCGTCGGTTACAACAACCTTTTAGTGGCGTCGTTGACGTGGTTCCACTTCCCTCGGAGTTGCATCTGCTGCAGCGCGTGCGGCGGGAGGTTTGCTCCTACGACCCCGACGTTCTTCTTTCATGGGAGGGATGTAAGTACGGTGTTGGTTTGTTGGCGCTCCGCTACCGTATTGTGCTACAGCGTTCTCTTGCGCGGGACGTCGCTAGGCTCTCCATCCATGACATGAGCGATGACGCAAGCGAGGAGGAAGATGAAGCGTTGTTGTTGCTGTCTTCGTCGTCACTGTCAGCGGGAGACGAGGACGTCGCCGTGCCGGAGACTGCCGGGGCATCATCGGCCGCTGCAGTTCCACAGCCTGGCGCAGGCGGCATGGTAAAGCGTCTCTCAAGGCGGTTTGGTGGTGGTGTTCGGGTCCCGGGCCGCGTTGTGGTTGACCTCGGTAAGCAGCTGTGCAAGGAACTGCGGCTTCCCTCACACACCTTACAAATGGTGCACCAAAAGCTCTTTCGCCGTAGTCTGCCGTACTTTACGGACATTGCCCTGGCAGAAATGTACACCAGCAGTAGTGATGACATGCGGCGTGTGGCACTTACTGTTCTTTTGACACGTGTTGTGACGCCGCACCGTGTTGCGCAGCATCTCAACTTCTACACGCGCACCGCGGAGTTCGCGCGGATGTACGGCATCCTCTTTTATGAGGTGCTCAGTCGTGGGAGTCAGTACCGTGTCGAGGCGACGCTGCACCGCATGGCGCGGCCCATCGGCTACACAATGCTATCACCATCGCCTGAGGAAGTGCACCGGCAACCGCGCCTTGTGAGCATGCCGCTGATTATGCAACCACGCAGTGGCTTCTATAAGGACGACCCCGTTGTTGTGCTGGACTTCCGAAGCCTGTATCCTAGCATTATCATTGCGTACAACCTCTGCTACTCGACCTGCCTTGGAAGGGTGTCAAGATGCCGTCACAGCCGCTTGGGGGTGCTGGCATCGTACAAGCAAGCTGACTCTGTCCTCCTGCAGCTTCTCGCGGAGGATGATGCGTGCCCCACATCACGCAGAGTGATATTTGCGCCAAATGGCTGCATGTTTTTGTCCCCCAGAGATACGCAAAGGGGTGCTCCCGCAAATGCTGCAAGCTCTGCTCGACACACGGTTTCAAGTACTGGCGGCTTTGAAGCATGTGGCACAGCCGTGCGAGGACAAGTACATGCAACGCGTCCTCCAACAGCAGCAGACAGCCATTAAACTACTCGCTAACACAACCTACGGATACACGGCGGCCTCCTTTACGGGGCGAATGCCGTGCGTGGATGTCGCCGATGCCACGGTCATGCTTGGACGTCAGACACTCGAACGGGCGATGCAACTTATTAACGGTCACCCAAACTGGAACGCGGAGGTGGTGTACGGCGACACCGACTCTCTGTTTGTGCGGTTACCTGGCAGGACAAGGGATGAGGCCTTTCTGCTTGGTGAGCAGATGGCGAGGGAGGTGACTCGCATCTATCCCGCACCGATTCAGCTCCAGTTTGAGAAGGTGCTTTTTCCTTGTCTGTTGCTTGTGAAAAAACGTTACGTGGGGTACGCGTATTTTAATCCAGAGCAAACGCAGCCTGAGTTCCTTGCGAAGGGTATTGAGACTGTACGCAGGGATCAATGCCCTGCAACATCCCGTCTTGCGGAACGTATGCTTCGTCTCCTTTTTGATGGTGCATCCACGGACGTGCTGCGTATGCGGTTCTACGAGGAAGTTGGAAAACTGCAGCGTGGAGGGTGTAATCCGGCTGACTGCATCTTTAGAAAGGCGGTGAAGCTTGGTCGTTACCGCGGCACTGCACATTTGCCACCCGGAGCGCATCTTGCCATGCAGTTAATAGAAAAGGATATCACACACACGCCGTATTGGGGCGAGCGCATGCCCTACATTGTGGTTCAGTCGCTGACGTCTGCCCGACTGTGCGATAAGGTGGTACACCCACAACGCCTACTGAATTTGAGGGAAAACCTGCGCATTGACCACGAATACTACATCAAACGTCATATTATTCCCACGCTGGATCGTATGTTTTACCTAATCGGCGTGAGCTTTGCGAGCTGGTATGCGGTTATGCCAAGGCGGCGGTCGTATCAGAGCTACTTTGAGCTTGGCTTGACAACGCTTCCGCTCTTGGGCAGAAAAACGACGCGGATACCGCGTGATTCCATCGTGGTGGAGGGCAACACAGACGACGACATGGACCACAAGGGTGCATCGTTGCCTGTGGCTACTCGGGTGCATCCTGCGAAGCAAGGGACACTGGATGTACACTACCAGCAGACGTTGTGCGCTGTGTGTCTTGGTAAGTGCTCGAAAACAAATCCACCAGATCTACCCGTTTGTGGCGTTTGTTTGCACAATCACGGGGCATCGGTTGCGCGCGTGGTAGGGCGCCGGCACACTGTGGAGCAGCATTTGCGATTACTGGAGACCGCGTGTCGACGTTGCATTGCATCGTGCGGGGAGGCGGGCGGAACAAACTTCTTGGCGGGGGAAGAGCGAGACATGGAGGATATGCATTTTGTCATTCCCCATAGGCTTGCTGCCGCTGCTTCTGCTGCCGTGCATGGAGAGAAGTCGAGGGGGTGTCTTTCCATTGACTGTTCCTTGACCTTTGAGAAGTGTCAGGTGTTCCTCCTTCACTCGCAGCTGATGGCGTTGGAGAATTACTTGACGGGGCTGTGAGCTACCGCGTGCTCCCCTCCCCCTTTTTTTTTTCTCACACTATCGGTCTATATATATATATATATATATATATATATCTGTATGTTG